TCAATCTTTGAGCCTTTTTTTGAGTTTTCTCACCCCCCATCCCTAAAGGGGGATCCCTAAAGGATTGGGGATGACTGAACAGCTGTATAGCTCTTGTTCCTGGCAGGGCAGGCTCTAACTACTACAAGGGGTTTGATAGATATCTGTAGTTTTGCACAAAGGTGCCTTTTTTCTTTCCTCTTTTAGCTTGCTCTTTTTCTGGTATCTACATGCAGTGGAAGTGGTAAAGTCTCCTTAGGACTGATAAGCTCTGGAGACTGATACTCTTGGTGAACTTGCAAGACCTGCAGAATTCAAAACCCTAAGAGATGTTTGAATCTGTACAAGACCACTTGGAGAAATAAGCTCCTACAGCAGGTTATGTAGCTACTGCATAGAAAAGGGCAGTGGCTGCTATGTGCAGACAATAACTAGGTGATTTTTTTGTATGTGTGTATACACACACTTTATTTTTATGTAAATAAAATATTTTCAGGGCAGGTATCAGGAAGCCACTGGTGTGCCAATACATGCTCTGCTTCTGCACATAGATTTAAAACTAACCTTCCACTTAACATGATCTGGATGTGCATGCGTGTGTGAGAGGAAACGCATGTGTAGCACAGGCAAGTCCCTGCTATTAGTAACACATTGATCCTGTTACTAATGACAGAGGAAATAAGGTACCTTAAGAAGTTATGGTTGTCATTTGTCTACCACAACATCATCCACTGCAAGGATACAGGGGATCTACAACAACCTTGTGCATACCCAGAAGTAATCACAGTGTATTAACATGCTTTTTTCTGCTTTCTTCTCCCTTCTTCCATCTCCTGATTCAACTGCAATCAGATCTTTACAATCCCTGGGAGTGACTCACCTGCAGTCACTTTGCAGCTCACCTGGTTACATGCAGGCTTGTACTTCAGCCCTGGTTTGTTCAGGATTCTTTCAATCTGCTCATGGTTAAAGTTGGAGATTCCAATGGCTTTCGCCAGACCACAGTCCACCAGCTCTTCCATGGCCTAAGACAAAGAGGAGCAAAGTCAGAATCCAGGACACAAGACAGGGCCTGAAGCTGTTCTTCCTGGCATGGTTGTTTCCCTCTTGTGGGAAGAGAAGGACAGCCTTTGGAGTTGCAGAGCTTGTCTCTTGGGGAAGAGCGCACACTGGTCTATTTGTGCTATGCCTTCCCTCTCACCCAAGCCCAAAGGCTCATTTCTTGAGATGTCAGAAATTCACACTAAGTTACTTACAGGTGGAAAAGAACAATAATCAACAATGTGCTGTTGAGCCAGCACTGGAAGACCTCAAATACACTCTGTGGGAATAAAGGTACCTGAGCAGATTAAGAACTGTGGTGAAGGCAGCTCTGTGGTTGTTCCAGTCAAGCAATCTGGTCTGCAGCTCCAGCCAAGATTACCAGCTTGACCAAGCATGTATGTTTTGAAAAGCTACCTTGTATTCCATAGGACAAAGACCTAGGACCTTTGTGACTGCTGAAGGTGATGAAAGCATGGAGAAGACTGCCAGGGACAGAAAACATGATTCTCCCACTGTGGCTGAACTTACCTCCCATGTATCCAGCATACCAGTGTTGCAGGGTATAGACATGCCCTTGTCATCTGTGGGAAGCAGCTCCTCTCCTGCCTGTCGGTGACAAAGAAAATGCCTGAACCACTTCATTGGGAAGTTAATACCAAGACAGCTGAGGACCATGACAGCTTTAACTTGTACTGCAGAATGTACTGTTCTTGTCTACATTTTGATGCAAGTTTATGCCAGCAACTGTTCCCAAGAGGATGAACAGGTGTATCTCCTGGGCCCAGCAAATTGGTGACTCACCAACACACACACACACAGAGATCCACAAGTCACACCACCTGTGGAACAAAGCAGAACAAACAAGCCCAGGGTGTTGTTGTTACCATACCTTGAGCCCAAAAGGCCAGTGCATGAGGTAGAGATCCAGATAATCGAGCTTCAGGTCAGCAAGAGTCTTCTGGCAGGCTCCCTTCACCAGAGGCTTGTCATAAAACGTGCACCACAGCTAGAGACAGAAAGCCAAGACACGCTGTGACCTCTCAGGTTAATGCCTTTGGAACCCTTTGATTCTCTTTCTGAGAGGAGAGCACCTCTCCTCTTTGGGAGGCAATGTGGAAAGTGGCCACCCCAGTGCTCTTCAGACAGGGTTGCTCTTTGTGCAAAACTGGCCAATGGCCAGCAATACCGAGGGCAGTGTGTGCTGAGGTTGCACATACAGTTAAAGAGAGTTGTAACCTGAAAAACTGATCCTGTTCCATTAGTCAAGACAAGTGAAAGTCCCTTATGACAAGCAGAGATGGGCTGAAGCACTTCTTAAAAGTTAGTTTCTGTAATAAGCCAAATAAGAATTTCCTTCAAAAGCCAGAGAAAAAACCCAATGATTTTTTGGGGCTACCTGAGCTTAACACATGCTTTGAACAGTCCCATGAAGTGGAGAATGTTTTAGATAACTCTGCAACCTAAGGTGCCAAAAAGAAGGTTCCTTCAGTACTGGTCTGAACTAGGCTCTGAATTACTCCCTGCTATAGCCCACAGCCTTTTCCCACCACTCTGAATATTCTCCTATGAACACGTGCTGCACAAAGCAGACCTTCGCCTGGGTCCTCAATCATCAGATCCTGACCTTACTGACGATGAAGAGGTCCTCTCTTTTCACAACGCCTTCCTTGATTTTCTGCTGGATCCCTTCCCCAACTTCACTCTCATTCTGGTACACGTAGGCACAGTCAAAGTGGCGATACCCAGCGTCGATGGCAGCCATCACCGCAGCTTTTACTTGCCCAGCGGGGGACTGAGGAAAGAAGGTTAAGATCTTAGATGAAAACTTAGAGGCCGTTGTTTAGTTATCTAGAAAGTAAAGAAGCAGATACAAAGGCGTTTGCCTCTTCCAGGCAGTGTTCTTAAAGCTATATTCATCTTAAAAGTGCAGGCTCCAGGGCCCAGCCCCTTCCCTGGACACTTCCCACCTGTAATTTGAAGGTTACATCAGTTGCTTCCTGCAGAGATGTGCATTTCTGTGTTTCTATGTCCTGAACGAGAGCTGTGCATAAGGAAACGTTGGCATATCGTGTTCATACAGCTTGAGTCACCCGTAACTGCAGGGCAGCATCAAGGAAGCCGAG